CAGCAACAATTTTATAATTGAGAGATATGAAGATTATACCTCTTATGATGAGCAAAAAAGTGCTGGGAAAAAGTCTTCAATAGAAATTCTCCACTTTCTTCATGAATAATAAGCCCATTAATTCTTGTGTCTTCACTTCCAAGAAAAAGAACCTCTTGGAGAATATCTTCAACATTTTAGAGACCACAAGAAAAATAATTTCTTCTCCCATTTTTCTTCATTTCTTCAACAGCAAAAGTAATAATCTTTTAAGAACATCTTTTTCCAGCAACAAATAGAACGAGCAGCAGCAGCAGCAGCAACAATTTATTTTTACTAAGATTAATGTCAACCCGGAAGATAGAACTAAAAACGAACTCATAAAAAAAATTCCGGTTTGAAATCTGAAATTTTTTCTTGCAGAAACACGGGAAAAATCACAAGATAATCACCGAACGGGAGTCGTTCCCTTGAAATAATCGTGAGATCTTCAAGGTACGGCTCTGATACCAATTGTAGGAGCCCATTTATATAACGAACGGTGGATGCGGAAGTAAGATATCTCGAGATTAGTCGTGTTTTTGTAAGTATGAACACTAAGAACATATTATGAGTTCATGGAAGAAAGAAGGCTAAGAACAAAGAGAGATAATAATATTAATGAAGAACATGGTGGGAGAGAAACTCTCCCTGGATGGGAGAACCCACCACTTTTCTCTCTAGGATTACATTGTAAGAAAGATAGAATAGTAAGAATTACATAAAAAATGACCACCTCTCCCTTTATATATGAGGGAGAGTAAATACACCAACAATACAATAAAGGGAAAAATACAACCTAACTACCACTCATTATTTGTAGAGCATTTCCATGCTCCAACAGAAATATATTTTAAAAGTATGATAGATTTTATAATTAAATGTAACTATGATTGAAATGTAATTGCTAAATTTAAAGATTCTATAATTAAATGTTTGAATTCTATTTGGAGAAGATGATGCCAGCAATTTGATCTAAGGGTGGAAATCATATGATTGAAATATAATCAAGGGTCATGATTGCTTCATTGGTGAATTAAGGGTTCTATTTTAATAATATTTAGAGATTAGAGATAATAGTTAGAGATGTCAACGTGTGTAAATGACTTATCTTATTTGTTGCCACATCACTATGCCAACCAAGCAGGTTAACTTGGTTTCCATAACTTGGTTTCGAGTTAGTTTTTAACAGAATGACTTATTTGACAGGTAAAATATACCTTTAATGGCTTATTGCGAAGAAAAAAACCGTGAATGTTCAATCCGAGACAAACACGAAGTACTAGAGTGTCAATATCCTTGTAACATCCCAAAATTCAAGGCCAAAAATTTCATTTTTAAATCATAACTAAACCATAGTATTAAATCATTTCAAACATACTAAAAGAGTTATATAACAAATCAGAGTATCTTTTCAAAACACTTGTTCATTTCATCAGAGTAAAACATCCCAGGCTGTCTAATCAATGATGTGTGCCATGCGATCACCCCGAGCTCTTCCCTCCGCTACCGGAAGTACCTGAAACCAAAACTGAAAACCGTAAGCACGAAGCTTAGTGACTTCCCCAACCTACCACATACCCTGCATAATCACATACTGCAAATACTGGGCCACGCCCGCTACTTTGGGCCTCGCCCACTACCTCGGGCCTCGCCCGCTTCAACGGCCCCGCCGCTCCAGGCCCCTCCTGGCTTCGAGCCCCGATCGGATACAGATCTGTTTCTCTTAGGCCCCGCCTGTCCCTGGGCCCCGCCCGCTAACATATACTAACACATAAACATACCACAACACGCAACTAAATATATACTACTGAATCCTGTTCTAAGGCCTCGCCTATCTTGGGCCTCACCCTTGTCCTGCTACTGATGAATCATGGAACCCCGTCCACGCTCCTTCTGATAGTGAGATACGGGCCCAGCCCACACTCACTCATTTCCTAACTTGGGCCTCGCCCCTGCTCTGATGCTAATGAGATATGGAACACCGTCCACACTCTGCTATTGGTGAGATACGGGACCTCGCCCACACTCACCTCCCTACCAGGCACATACAAGTATCACACAGACAACAAGTATACTCTATCATGCAAACCATTCCTTGGGCACCCGCTCGAAATTGGACCTTGGTCCTGAATATCATGCTAGCAAACAGTGCCTAGGGCTAACCCCCGGGTCTTCCTACTCACAACTACATGGGCCGGCATTGTGGCCGTAGACCCATTCACACAAAGGGAAACTCACCTCAAACTGCTGAAGCTGCTGATAACTCTCTGGCTGCTGTCTGACAACTCTCTGAACCGCTGCTCCTCTAGCTCCCCGAGCTACTATTATCAATATATCACTTAGTTCCAAACTGAACTCTAGAAGTCAAACTAAGTCAACTCTGGTTAAAGTCAAAGTCCTGGTCAAAGTCAACCTTCCAGTTGACTCGACTCGCCGAGTCAACCCAAAGACTCGCCGAGTCCTTAAACTCAGAAGCTCTCAAAATACGACCCAACTCGCCGAGTCACCCCATGACTCGTCGAGTTCAACGATCTCTGAGTCTCATCCTGTCCAACTCACTGAGTCACCGCTCAACTCACTGATCTGCGTCTTAACCAGAAGAGGTTGGGGGTTCTACGACCTGACTCGTCGAGTCCAAGAACAGACTCGCCAAGTCCTAGGAAATCTTCAACAGACTCGCCGAGTTGTTCTTCCAACTCGCCGAGCCCATGCACATATTCATACAACTCGTCGAGTACACCCATGTGACTCGCCGAGTCTCTCCGGTTCTCAATCCATACAGTGGATTTTCGAGCCATGCAGGGGCTCCAATCCATAGATCCACTCTTCCACAGTCTATTCCCCACATAAAGTTGCAAACTTTACGTGAAACCAAGGGGCTAAAGGCCCAAAACACTCTAGGGCTAGGGTTTAAGGCAAAGGGGCTTCACCAATAACTTATTGACATAAACTTTATGACCTTCTGGACCATCACAAGTCTAGATATGAGGTAGCAACCTCAGATCTAGGCCTCTAACTCGACATAGATCTCAATCTTGCCAAAATAGCCCCAAGTCTCATTCAAGAATAGATCTAGATGCAAAAAGGGTGAAGGTAACAGCTTATTACCTCCAAGATGACCTCCCACTGAAGATTAATCCAAATCTCTGCAAACTCCCTTGATCCAAGCGTCTTGATCTTCAAGATCTCTTCATAAAACCACTTATCTAAGCTCCAAATTGCTTCCAAGGACTCTCACTCACGATTTAGGGTGTCTGGATCTCAAAAGGGGAGTAAAGAGGCTGGGGAAGGGATGTAATGTTCTTTAAATAGGGCACAACCCCCGGGATTAGGGTTTTTCTCGCACAGACCAGACTCGCCGAGTCCACTAGCCGACTCGCCGAGTCGGTCACTTACTCTATACCCCGGATCCCACTCTGACTCGTCGAGTTCCTCCCTGGACTCGACGAGTTGACTCATGACTTAGAGCTTTTCCTTTCTTTTCTTGGTCTTTCTGATTTTGGGTGTTACAATCCCTTTAAAAAATTGCTTCCAAACATCCCAAAAACACACACAACTCATGTGTGGCTGTCGATCACAAATAGAGAGGGAAAACAAGAGCGATCGGAGAGGGATTCGAGAAGAGGATGGCTATAGCAGCTGTGGCTGGAAGGTGTAGGGTGGCACTGTGGTGGCAATAGATGGCGGAGGTCGTGACGGTGGTGGTTCGACCACTAGTTTTCATACCCAAATCACCCTCCTACTTGTTTTCTTGAATCGAAATTGCGGTATAAGAGGGTGTTTGGGATTACTTTTTAACCTTAAAAATCTTTTTGTAAAAGGACTTTTTATAGAAGAACTTTTTGCAAAATGAGTATTTTAAAATGTGTTTGGATTAGCTTTTGAAGGGCAAAAGTCAAAAGTTGTTTTTAAAAATTATTTGGTTTAATTTTTATCTGTAAAATGACTAAAAAGGAAGATAGGTGGAGGTGAGTGTGAATTGATTAGGTTAGTTGTAAGGGCTTTAATGTAATTTACTTTTTTTCAGGTCCAAAAGTCACAAAAAATTACAAAAATATGTCTTTTCCATTTACCAAACAACTTTTGAGACTTTTGACTTTTTAAAGAAGTTAAAAGTCTAAAAGTTGTTTAAAAAGGAACCCCAAACACCCTCCAAGTATTCTAATTATATTATTTCAAACTTTTGGCTAATGAGGTCACTGTGTTTCCGGAATTAAGGTTCCATTGGAACCGGAGCTTAGGAATTCTTGCTGATTTGGAGTATTATGAAAGATTATAAACCCGAAATCAAAGGTAGGGTTTGTTGATTCCGTGAATTGGTTAAATTGGTGAAACTAGCGTTTAAACTAGTGCTGATGTACATATGGAATGTAGATAAATTGATTATCCTTGTTGTAATGACCGGTTAATATTAGCTAAAATATCCAGATTTAAGTTGGAAATACGTGATGTTCTTAAACAATGAACTTTGACTATTATTCGATTCGTAAAACGGTAAAAGTGGAGATTTGATATATGAAGTTAGTTAGCTTAAATAATGCTTATGTTAAGTTAAAGAGAAATTAAATAGCCTCCTACTTTTTGTTCCTAATATCCTCCTACCTATTTTAGATGGTGACAAGTGCCATTAAATTTAATTTAAATTTGATTGGGATTTTGAATTTGTACACTTGTCATCATTTTAAATAGGTAGGAACAAAAGGTAAGATGATATTTAATTTCTCTAAGTTAAATTGTTTTAGTGGTTCTATATTTGCTTTAAGTATATAAATGCTCCATATTCACTATCCTTTTTAAAAATATACCACCTAATTCGTAAAACATGTGAAAACTGAAAAAAAGTTTTTCAACATCCAAACCGGTGTTACCTAAATCAAAATGGTTGTAAATGACGAAAATACCCCTAATCTTAATTTGTTGGTAATCAAAACATATAGAACTATGATCAAATTGATAATTAAAAGTTCAGAAAGTAATAGTCAAACATAAAATCTTTCGTATAATCTAAACAAGCCCTCTAAAAGATTCATCCACTTTTTCCAAGATGACAATGGTGGAGTGTTTGCATATTTCCACGTGTCTTGCATTACTGCAGGTGAATACCTATCGCCTTTCACATCTGCGGCAATCGATTCAAGTTCACACATGTCTTCATTCGTTAATTTTACACAAACCGATCCAATGTTTTGTTTAAGGTTCTCGATTTTTGTTGTACCAGGTATAGGACAAACATCGTCCCCTTGGTGTAGAAGCCACGTCAGCGCCAGCTGAGACGGGGTGCATCCCTTCTTTCTTGCCATGTCATTCACCCTTTCGTATACAATCTTATTGTTCTCCAAATTTTCACCCTGAAATTTTGGTAGATGCTGCAAAAGATGATGAATTATCACAATTTGCCCAAAATTTGGCTTTTAAAAAAACTTTATAAACACTCAATAGTAGCCAAGATTTCATGTTATAAAAGTATGATACCAGTGAAAACAAATGGGTCTAAGGGTTAAATATTGTATGGGTAAAGTGCTGAATTGCTAATTCATATTTTTATGCAGTTTTTTTATTTGTCAATTTTAATAGGTTTTAATTCGGACAGCTATATATGACCTTTTCTTTTTTAGGACAGAATGACTTAATGCTTTAAGCCAAAAAAAATGGCTTCATGTTGAAATTGATGAATATTGTTAAAACTTAAAATGATAAAGATAAAATAGTTATTTAGTTTAATTCGGACCATTCAACCTAGAAAAAAAATCTTATGCATAGAACATTATATTCAGACAAAATTATTATCCGTTCAACCACTTTATCTTAAGAGGACTTAATGGAGATGCATAATAAACAACCAAGTGTTGTATATATAAAAATTGTTTCTTGTAATTGAATCATATTTCAACTTTGAGAATGTCAACGAAAGCGTTTTTTTTTAATAAAGAAAAGAAGATTGTGTTAAAATACAAACCCTTCGGAAGTCATCACTTGCAAAGTTCTCAACCACCTTCGGACCCTTTGAGAAGAACCCCTTTCCTAAAGGACTAAATGGAACTATCCCAATTCCAAGTCCTCTGCAAACAAATAATATATATTTATTTTAAAAATAGTTATAAAAAAGAAAAATCAAAATCCAATTCAAAAACTAAACACCCACCTACAAGTAGGAATCACTTCTTCTTCAGCATCTCTTGTCCACAACGACCATTCTAATTGAACAGCTGTTATCGGATGAACTTTATGTGCCCTTTTAATAGTTTCTGGTGAAGCTTCCGAAAGCCCTATGTATTTTATTTTACCTTCTTCCACTAATTCCTTCAATGCCCCCATCTAAACAACAAAATGTCACAAACTTTCATGGGTATATATATATATATATATATATATATATATATATATATATATATATATATATATATAAAATTATAAATATATATATACCGTGATTTCAATAGGAATGCTTGTATCAATACGATGAACATAATAAAGATCAATACAATCGATTCCAAGTTGCTTCAAATTAGCATCACAAGCTTCTTTCACATACACAGGATCGCCGGAAACCACCATCTTTTTATCACCGGAGAGTGACTTGATCCCAAATTTGGTGGCGAGTTGTACTTTTTGTCTCGTGTGGGGCCCCTTGAGAGCCTGTGAGGTTTGACTTTGGTCAAAATAGTCAATGTACGAAAATATATAAGTGATCTAGCTACCTGGCTGATGATGATAGTGTTTGTATGAGGGCCATAGAGATCAGAAGTATCAAGAAATGTGATGCCGGATTCAATGGCGATTTGGATTACTTGAATCATTTCTTTTTCGGGTTTTGGGGATCCGTGTAATGGGGACATACCCATGCATCCTAAACCGATTGCTGATACTTCAAGACCTTGTGATCCTAGTTTCCTTCTTGGCATAATAACTAGTTCTTCTCCCATTGTAGCTCTTTCAATAAACAGTGATGAAGTTTTTGATGAATTTTATATGGAGGAAGAAAACACATAAGGGATTATTTTAATTGAAAGATTCCCATGTGATATTGATGCTCACGTTGGATAATTTAGATTTAATAAACTTGTCCATTATGTTATATAGATTATTCGATTGTAGATTAAATATTGGTTTTTATTATACTTCTTTCTAGTAATGTGCATCCACTTGCCTTTTAGTTAAAAACCAACTTGAAGCTCATACATTTCCATGGTGATTCGTTTTACTTACAAATTAGAGCTATGTCTCTTATGTTTTGGTCAAGGTTCTTTATGTTTGTAGACTTTCCTTTTTCACCAATAAATATAGTGTCTAAATTGTGATTTTACAACAAAAAAAATAAAAAAATAATAATAATAATAATAATAATAATAATAAACCACGATAGTAGTTTGTGGTGCCTTGTATAGAAATAGAAATAAAGTACATCTTATTTATTTATGGTTAAAGCGAAATAAAATGTGATTGTTGACCAATGATTAATATGGCCATTTGTTTGTGATCTTTTAAAACGCCTACCAAACACATGAATAAGTTCATTATATTTTACTGTTATCAAATATAGAAAAAATACATTTCTAAGCACACCATTTTTTTGTGAAAGACATTAATAAAAAAAATCATAGTTATTAGTCGCAATCTTTTGTACTTCAAACTCAAACTCAATAAATTTCAATCACAATAAAGAAATTAACTTATCAAGGTAATTATTTTTTTTATATATACACACCTAGGTAACGAACTTGTTAAAAATATTCACATATGACCATTATAACCGCCTATAAACAATCATAATGGTCGTATGTAAACATTTCCAACAAGTCTGTTATCCAGATGTATAAAAAAAGTTACCCTAAGAACAAAACAAAAAAATAATTACTCTGATAATTTAATTTTCATTCTTTTTTATTTTACATTCTAATTTTGATTTACTATAAAATTTAATCTAAATGGTAAATATTTTCAAAACCACACCATTTTAGTATATATTTTTTTTAAACATACACTGCTTTCGTGAAAAAAAAACAAAAACCTCCAGATTTGACAGGAAAAAACAGTCATTTTATAGAATTTTATTGTAACACCTGTTTCGAGTATCAGTTAGAAAGTACCATTTGGGGGAAATGTTATGCATGGACTCGGCGAGTTGGGAGTCCAACTCGTCGAGTAGGGTCGAGGCATTTTAGGCATGGGTCGAAAGAGACTCGGCGAGTCGGAAGGCCGACTCGGCGAGTCAGGGCTGTTTAAGGAAACCCCCAATTTTAGGGTTTGCCCCCTATATAAACATCATTATAAACCCTAGTAGCCTCCATTTTACACCCTAAAAGCTGTTCACGGCCGCAAACCTCTTGTGAGAGAAGAGCGAGCATTTGGGAGCTTGTCTTTGGGATTTTGGGGTGGATTTCAAGCTTGAAGAGGAAGTATCAAGGGAGGAGCTCTAGATCGAGTACCTATTTCGTGTTGGGCATCTATCTGAGGTATTAATCTGCTACTTTAAGCTTTGATTTCTTTGTGGAGATTATGGCCATTCTTGAGGAAATGGAACCAAGTTTGGATCTGGACCTATCGCAAGGATATAGTTCCAGATCTGGAACTTCTTAGGTCCCAAATGTCATAAAGTTGTCTACTTGGTGCACCCTAACTCTTATTCATGCATTTGGGACTTGTAAGAAGCTTGTTGATGTGGTTTTGGCATTATGAGACTTAGTAAGAACGTAAAGTTGGCAACTTTACGTGGTATTATCACTAGGAGAATATGGATCTGAAGTTTGGGACCTTAAATCCCACTAGAAAGGACCGAATACGTGGGAACTCGTCGAGTCGTTCTTGTGACTCGGCGAGTCGAGAGGGTTCACGACCAAAGGTTTACGGCCAAGGGTTCACGGTCAGGAGTGTGCGGTTGGGAGTTTACGTCCGTAAACATCAATGAACTCGACGAGTCTCTCTGATGACTCGCTAAGTCGATGAGTTAAGCAGGGAATCCGACGAGTGGCTAATTGTACTCGGCGAGCCAAGGTCAATATGGACTGTTGACCTTGACTACAGACATAGACTTTGACCAGGGTTGACCTGGGGGTATTTATGGGATTGTGTAAAGCTAATCACCTGATGATTATGGGCAGTTGAGAAGGAGCAGCGTGTGGGATATGTTTGACTTCAACTTATCAGTTCAGTGTTCGAGAGGTGAGTCTTCTCACCATACCAATGGGTCTAAGGCACCAAGGCCGGCCCATTTTATGATAGTTGGTATACTTGCTAAGTAGAGGTGTGTGATATGTATGTATGCATGATATGAGGTAGAGATAGCCTTTTGGCTAATGGTAGAGACAACCTTTATGGCTGATGGTAGAGATAGAATTTATGGCTGATGGTAGAGATAGAATTTATGGCTGATGGTAGAGATAGCCTTGTGCCTAATGGTAGAGACAACCTTTATGGCTGATGGTAGAGATAGTCTTGTGGCTAACGGTAGAGATAGCCTTTGTGGTTAACGGTAGAGATAATTTGTATAGCTAATTGATATGTGCCAGTGGTAGAGATAGCTTTTATAGTTATTTGATATGTGATACGTGGTAGAGTAGCTTTTATAGCTGATTGATACGTGATAACGGTAGAGATAGCTATTACAGCTAGTACGATATGTGTTATGTAGATTGTGTGTGGGGTATGCTCTGGGGGACTCACTAAACTTTGTGCTTGCGGTTTACAGTTTTGGTTTCAGGTTTCATCGTTTCGGAAATGAAGGGCTCGGATTGATCGCAGTGCACACACACCTATGATTTCCGAAATGAATGATTTTGGTAACGAACTCTGATAAATGTTTCTAATTAACACTGTTTTGGAATGTTTGGAATAAATGGTTTCTATGTTGGGTTGAATTAAAAATAAAATTTTTACCCCTGATTTTTGGGTCGTTACAAGTTGGTATCAGAGCCTTGGTTTGAGGGATTCAGACACATTTTCGGGTGTGTCCGGACTCAAACTGAGGATCTGTAAAGTTTTTAAAAGAAAAATGTTTTAAGTAAAGAATTTGTAAGATAAGAAAGGGTGTGGTGCATGCAATCAGCCGAGCTCGAGTAAGTTTCCCCAGAATACCCACATTGGTTATCTGTTATGATTATGAATCTGTGAACCGCATGCTAGTTAGGGCTAGGGGAGATGCTTGTATATGTTGTATGAGCTAGTAGACTGGCATGCTAGTGCTGAGCAGTCAACAATAGGTTGGCGTGATATGTGGTGCTTGTAGCCATGAGGATATTGGATGTCATGCTGGAATGAGAATGATAATTGGTATTTGTAACTGCAATGTGTATGTTTTGAAAATTGTATACGGTTAGGATCTTATAGCCTTAGAATAGCTGATTTGACCTTATTTCCTGTGGTCCTAGGGTAGGATCTATTATTCGACAGTCTATTAGATCCTGTTCTGTGTATAATTTGCATGCATAAGGCAGCCGACAGCAAGGATGGATAAATGAGGACAACATGGGTTGTGGTACGTGGACTGGATGCCCGATGATAGCTTCGCAGGTTGGAGAGTGCCCTAGGATGAGATTAGTGACAGGTGTTACCTGCTTGCGGGTTGTATGGGTGGATAGACTGGCTTGTCTAGTGTATGCTGGTTAGATTTACCAATTACCTGAATGCTGCTTGCTTTATGCTTTGTAGGACTCTTATTAATGTGAGTTAGCTATTAAGTGAATATGCCAAGTCACATGTAGCACAGAATGGATAATCTCAGAGTGATGGACTTGACCCTATTGCGCAGCTCTCGTATGAGTCTAACCGTTCTAGGGATGAGTCTTTTACTTGAAGGATTATCTGATCTCTGCTACATGTGGCTATATTCATGAGGTATCTAGTTGAAATTAATGGGAATCTTTCAGCAGCTGAGGGCAGGGTGAGGTTGGGAACCTAGGAAAGCCTTGGATATGCTCCAGTGAGCTCAGTGGGGTGGTTCGATGAAGTTGGGAACCTAAGAGGTGCTACAGTAGAGATCGTCATGCTGCTTAGCAAGCGTTTAGTATATCAGAGGAGTAAGTGACTCAGAGGATTCAAGAGGATTGCCGAGAAAAGTATGGATAGGTGTGGAAGGTAGTATTAGGCCCGTACTACTGAAAGCACAAGATCCGTACTCGAATCGGTGAGAGTCTTGGAGGATCTGAGAAGCTTATGGGAAGGAGGACTCTTGATTATGATTAGATCTAGGGGATATCTGCTTCGCAGAATGAGGATGAGCGCGCATGGGTAGGACCAGGGTTTAGTCCCGGCTCCAGTGGTGAGCCAGTTAATGGAAGGACTGCCAGAATTTTGAATTCATCCTGGATCAGGCGGCAAGGATTGTGCGATCTATTGCACATTCGGGATTGGAGACCAAGTCTCAAGGATAGTTTGTAGCCCGGTTTAGAGTAGAGATTGCTCCAGCTGTTGTAGTGCATCCGCAATGATTGAACTAGTAAGTGGATCAGGGTGCGAGACCTTGAATGATATGGATCACAAAGCTGAGAACGGAAGATTGATTAGGGGTACCTCAATAAGAGAGGTTCAGGTCAAGTGAATTCATTGGAGGGTCTCGGGCGGAGACTTAAGAGTTTCAATCAGCACTTGAGAGGCTAGCAGGGTCGGATCCAGTGCAACGTCTGCAGAAACTGCGCGATGGAGTTTCGTTCCAAGGGTTTGGACTGTCATTGGGATCATAATGAGGTGTTACATCATGTTCTCAGGGAGGTCGAGGTATCACAAGAGGAGGTGGTCAGGATTCCTTCAGATGTTTGTGGATATGCTAACTTCGGCCATGTCCGGTAGATATTGGGTAATTGTATCGCTTAGGTATCGTGATAAGTGGATCTCAGGTCGGTATTCTACTAATGTCTAGGTTAGCAAGGGTGGTTAGATGCCATTCAGCATGTCGAGGAATCTTTGAGAGATCTTCAGACGAATGTACCTCGCGGAGCGGAATCC